AGGACCCGGACCAAGAAGCAGTTTCCGTGGGCTCCTAGCCCTGGGCCAGGGCAGTTCCGGGAGCCGGAACTCGGCCGCTCCGTGCTCGGTGTAAGCTCCGATAAGAGTAGGTTCCAAGAAGCAGTCCCCGCGTGCTCAGTTCCGGGAGCCGGAATTTGGCCGCTTAGTGCTTGGTGTATGCTCTGATAGGAGCAGGGTCCAAGAAGCAGCCTCCGCAGGCTCCCCAGCCCTGGGCCAGGGCGGTTCCGAGAGCCGGAACTCGGCCGCCCTGCGCTCGGTGTTCGCTCTGATAAGATCAGGTTCTAAGAAGCCCCCAGGCACTTAACCCTAGCAATCTGTCTGCAAGCCGCAGGCGAATGGCAGCCTGAAATTATCTGTTCTATGGCTAAATAAGCTGCGGTCAGTCGAAAACAGGGATGGTGACGTCAGCTTTCCAACATGGTTGCTGCTGGCCTCCTCTGTGGTCTGACCGGTGTGGAGAACCGAGATGGACCGCTTCCTTCCCCCGTCTCAAACCCAGAATTCAGCCCTGAGTACGGTGCTTGCACGGCTGGCAGAAACTGCAGCGCTGTATCCCTGCGTCGCTATCTCCTCGTTTCCCAGCGTGAGCTGCAGACTCTAGCCGCGGGGCGATTTGCTGAATAAGCAGTGTTACCCTCCGTGTGACAAATCTCTCATGTTTGAGTCCCCGTAGCCGATCCTCGTGCGATGGAAATTCTTCCTCCAGGTTCCAGAGCACCCCACTATTGCTGGAAATTCCTAACAAGATAGCCTTTAGCCGTCCTGACTTGTCATACTCCCACACAGTGAAGCACCACAAGGGGGCAATGCAGTCCCCTCGCCGCCATCTTCTAACCCCCCATGTTCGTCATTTTAAAGTCACCATTTAGACATTTGTAATCAAATTAGAAAATAAAATTGAACCCTCCAAATTCTGAGCTTTCAAAACTTTTAGTAATGCCCACTTTTGGAAATAAAGATTGCAAACAGGAAGACTGAATAATTATGCCTTAGAAAAGCAAGGGAAGATCTGGATAAATTATATAATGAGAGTTCAAACTGTGTAAAGGATTTATATTGAAGTTCTATAATTGGCTTTGTGATATCTTCTTGTGAGAGGACTTTTTTGAAAGAACTCTTATTTTTAATAGGACGAATATATATTCTGTAACAGATTGGAATGAGATGGAGAAAGCCTATAAGTTTGCCGAATCTAAATTAGGCAATGCTTTCAGATTTGCTAAATAAAATTCTCTGTGCAAAGACAAAAGGACAGTATCTATAAAAAATACTCAGGTTGATATATCTATACATTTTAATGAGGAAAAAAAAAGAAAGAGTAGAAAATATTTTACATTTAGTAATTTTGCCATGTATTTTTCTACTTCTGCACTTGTAAAATGAGCATTTCTTGGTTAAAATTATACAGAATATTTAGAATAATTTATGAAATTTCAAATTAATCTACTATAATGAAATGCCTCTTTCAAAAGAATCATTGGTATTTTATGAATACATTTAAATAATAACTTATCAAAAATGATCTTTAGAACTCATAACTACAATGTTATATTATTATAGTCATTCATAGGTAATTGAATTTTATATTACTAGGAGCAAATGCCAAAATACTATTTTCAGTGTTCACATACTTGATATAAAGAAGTATTTAATATCATTTTAATAAGAGGGTGTATGTCTTGCTATGTGTATATGTATTGTTTACAGGAAGAAATTTTATTTTTAAGGTAATTTTTGAGCAGTGCTCTGCTATCCACCCAATAATATAAACAAAATTTCAATGAACAAATGTCATTCAGAGATGATGTAACTTGAATTATTTTGGTTATCTTCTCATACTCTAGAAAATATCTCAGCTTGAATAGCCAGTTGTCTTACTTCCCTTTCCATGACTCAATTCTCATTTCTGTCACCTTCACTGAGCTCTCATTTAGAGAAGGGTTTTATTTCAACTGAAGTGCACACAAATGATTCTATGGAATAGTGCATGAGAGACTTCTGATGAATATTCAAATGAGTCACAAAGAATCTTACATTCTATCTTCCCTTTGCAAAGAAACCCTGTTGAGTCCCATTTGTGAAATCACTAAGGGGTGTTAAAAGGAAGGAGGGCTTCCCTAGACCAAGGGGACAGGCTATTTCACCGGGTTAGAAAAGCTCACTGCAGGGGGTCGCTTGGTCTCCCTGTGAATCTTTCAGTAGGTTTCTAGACACACATTCTATTCTCCCCTTCTAACTGAATCAATAGCCTAAATTTTACATGATCTTGGGGAAGCTATTATTTCAAGTGATTTTGAAATCTGACATTCTAAAAAGATTCAGTTTGGATTTTAGCCCTTCCAAGCCTTATAGCTGGAGGAGTAATTTTCAATAAGCTGAACAGAGACCTAAGCACATATGTATGTAATATCGGAAGCAAATACTGCACCCAGGGTACTTAAAGTTGCTCATCTCTTGGTCCTTGTCAGGGTTCCCTAGGCAAACAGAACCTGAAGCAAAGCTTATGTGTTAAAGCCCTCCATGATCCCAGAAGGGGAGAGATGCAGGAAAGGGAGCGAGAAAGCACTGCTAGAAGTATTACCATCCCACTGAAGATTTAGAGTAAGCAGAACTGTTTGTTCTGACCAGGATAAGACTTAATGGGAGCATCTGAACTGCATTTCAGAATGATCAGTCTAAGGGGAGTAAAGAAGAATTTATCCTCTGGCTCCTCCAGCTTCACTTGGAGTGTTCTCCCCTAACCACAAGCATAGATTACAAATTGGCCTCTCCAAAGTCACTGGGAATCCAGGACAGCATGCAGGCTCCTTGCTGTCAGTCATGCAGGCTCACTGTCATCATGCAAGCTCATTATCAATCAAATGGTATGGGGGGGATGGGTAATACATAAGTCTGTGGTGCAATGGAAATAATAGCATGGTTCTTTTTCCATAAAAACAATGCAAAACTTTGCTAAGGTTTCTCTGGGCAGATAACACAGCAAGGAAGCAATAGTGGGAGGCTCAAATAAACATAGACATCATGAGTTTTAAAGGAAGTAGCCACCTAGTCTTTCAGAGGAGCTTCCTTCTTGGCCATTGCAATTTGGAAGATCACATGTGATCATTTGAAAACAAACAGTATTAATCTAATATTCTCTAAGTATTGAATCTTAAAATTAAACAGATTTTTTTTCTTTAAACCAAGTTATTTCAATAACCAAACCAAACTTTCTTCCAGTGTCCCAGGTCTTTGTTGCTCACAGTCACTGTGGTAGAGGACTAAAGTTCAGAAATTTTCCAAATTTAATTTTAAAGAATCACATAATCTTGATATGACATCATGTTTTAGTTTTTCACAAGCTGATACTGTTAAAAGTAATTTTAAATTGCCTTCCAAAATACAGAATTCAGAATGAGTTCATTGTATATGCTTATCATGCTTAGTATTTATAGGTTTTTATGAAGTAACAATTTTAGAATAAAATAAAATGTATAACTAAATAGAAAAGTTTTTTAAAAGGGTAGCATAAGAATATGTACTCCCTTGTCTGATTCAAGTACTGGGAAGCCAATACTTTGGAGCTCCATCTAAAATGAGCCATGTGGATTTGAAAGTAAATGACAACCCTTCCTTATTAATCTTCTTTTTCATGGCAGTTTTTGTACTTTGCATTTACTGCCTATTCATATTCTTTGATGAGAAATGCAGACTACAGCAATGTGTCTAATGTGTTGACTAAAAATAACCCTCCACTATATTTTAGACAGCTATAAAGGCTAGACTGTATTATCTTTTGGAAGATCAGAACAAAGACCCTTTCAGTTCAGGAAGAATGGTTGAAAATTGCTCTAATTAGTTAATTTTAATCTTTGAGAGGAATATAAATTGTCTACATATTATAAGTGGCCAATTTTTTCATGATTACTTTTTATTTCTAGGTATTGTACCCAACCACTTGGCTTGCCCCTAGTCAAATTTACTGTTCATCTTTCTCTTAAATTAGATCATGTACAAAATTTGCTGAGGTTTAAATATAAGTGACAATGAGCTCAGAATGTGTCATAAAACCTCCTTCCTTTACTTAACTTTTTGAGAACAACTTTAACTCCAGTTTCTCAATACATATCAAATTCTTCCCAGTTGCTTCTTTCCCTTATTTAAATATTCCCCATTTTTCTATAAATATGCTAAATAGCTCTCTCCTTTCTTACCTCTTCATTTGCCCACTAACCCCACCAATCAACCCTACTTCAGTTTATTTGTTGTGTTCTCTTTTGATTAAAGCCATTATATTTTATTTAATTTCAAGATTTCCTTCTGTATCCTGTCCTTCATTTTTGTTACCAAGAAGGCTTTTCTAAAATGCAAATCTTAGAATCTCTATCTTTGCAAAATCCAGACAATTATTCTTAAAGCACAATTGTGCATATTAATATTGTCTTCCAGTGTGATGGTCAGTTTTATTCATCAGGTTAACTGGGCCACAGTTTCCAGTTACATGGACCAATGTTATTTTTGATATATTTGTGAAAGTATTTTGCATAGGGTTTATATTTAAATCAATGAACTTTAAGGAAAGAAAATTACCTGTATAATGTGGTTGAACCTGGTCCAATCAGTTGAAGGCCTGGGTAGAACAAAAGTTTGACCTCTTCTTCACAAGAGGAATTCTGTAGCAAATAGACAGTATTGAACTATATGCAGCTTATCACTGGGTCTCCAGCTTGCTGAGGCATAGTGAAAAGTTTGGCCTTGACAGACTGTATAATGTAATGCCTCACATCTGTTTAAACACACACACACACACACACACACACACACACACACACAGAGTATTGTTTCTGTTTCTCTATAGAATTCTGACTACTACAACTGGGCACCTATATCCTTTCCTAATCTCACCTCCAGCCCTGACCCTATGCGTGACATTTCTTCTAATCATGCTATTTTGAAGGTCTGTATTTATATACTAAATCATCTTCTTAAAAACAGAGTGAGTACTCACTTTTGCAGCACACATTCTAAAACTGGAATGATACAGAGAAGATTAGCCTGGACCCTGCGCAAGGTTGACATGCAAATTCGTGACGTGTTCCACAGTTTTTTATTCTTTTATTTTTTAGGACTATTTTAATAAATTTAATCTCATTTATGAACCCTTTTTGATATTTACTAGTGAAAACTAAAATAGATTTTTCTCCCTTATTTTCATCAACTACTAAAAAAACAAAAAACAAAGATAGTAATGCAATTTCATAAATGTTCTGAATAGCAGTTGTCAAGTTCCTTGAATTCTAATTTTAAATATCTGAGGATTAACATGTACAAAAAATATTTTGTTTAAAAAAAAAAAAAACAGTGACTACATATATTATGTAGTTAACTGTTCTGATAGTTTTTATTCAGTACTTGGCCTAGTCATTGAAAATCAGAAATGATCACATTTGAAAAATTCATTTGTTCTTATAAATGATTGAGGTTTCTGTTTGCTTTCCTTTTAAATCCAATAGAAGTCAGAATACAAAAAGCACAAAATGGCAGCAGGAAGTAAAGGTGTACTGAAAACAATCTTCATGGGGAAAACTAACAAATTTACACTCTTATAATATCAGACAATTTCTAATTCATGTCAACAATCCCCCTCATTTGTCAAGGTGTCCTTCCATTCATAGCAAATGCTGTGGAACACATATTACTTGGTATAACCTGTGCCAGAAGTGTACATCTGATTGAGGATAAAATTTGGTAATTGATTGCAAGGGTTTTAAAGTCTAGTGGATAAGATAAACCAGTATGTTGAGAGTGATGACAGAAATCATGAATTCATCCAAAAGGCTTCATAGTTTTACCTACAGAAGAGTTTGCAATTCTTTTAGTAGTGAGTGCTGGATAAATATTGAGGGAACAACTGAAGAGGTGTGATAGCCCAAATTCAGTCAGCCTTTGCATTATAGGTAACCAGAGATGGCAAGATGAGGATGCTAACCAGAGTGTGGCATGCTGAAATAACTTAAGTTCTGGAAACTTAAAGGTATTCCAAATTGTATGTTATATTTAAGTTATTATAGAGATATTTCATTTCTACTTGATGCAATGATATTTTCACATATGTTAAGCCAATAGGCCTGAATCATCTGGCCCTCTTTACCTCATTGAAATAAACTCTTTCTGGGGAAGAGAAGGTGTAGAAGGAAATCAGGAATGAGTAGTGGTAGAAAAGACACAATCCCATTTTTGATCCATGGATCCTCTATTGTCTTTACAATAAACTGTAACAAAAAAGTCCAAAATACATTCTTTCTTGGACAATAGTTTGATTATTTTAATTTAACTTATTCAAAGTTTGATGACTAAATTTAAGACTCAGTGAATTATTTATAGGTTTTTAATATATTTTTCAATAAGCACTGAAACATTTAATACTTATTCTTAAATGTTTAACAAAATAAACTTACAACTTACCAAAAAAAAAAAAAAAAAAAAAAAAAACGTCATTGTTTCATCAAACTTTAATTTGTATCACTCATTGTGATTTAACTCTTGGTCTAGACAATAAAATGATCTTTTCACAGATTTCCCTATCCAACTCTGCAAAGTTATTAGGAAAATTGATAAGTTAACTGCCTGATATGAATCCGGCAGGAAAAAAAAAAAAGAAAAAGTTCATTTGCTTTTCATCTGCTCTCCCGGGGCTAGTTTCTTTTCATTGGTTGGTAAAGGTTTGGGTGAATCACATTAGATTGCATCATGTCATAGGCCAATAAATTTTGTACTCTTTATTTTCTCTCTCTTCTCACATCTGGTATTTCCTTAGATGTGTTGATGATAAAATAGACAACCTCATCTCAAACCTGGAAGAAATGACAAAAACAAATTTTATTGTTGTGAAAAATTTCAAGTAGGGACATTATTTATGACATATAAGGAGATATAAAATGAATATGGAGAATAATATTTAATTTGTTTTAAATATTCCATCTTATATTTGTTCTGTATTTCAAATAAAAACCTGGATTATCATTCTAATTGATGAAATTCACAGACTGATATTTCAGTTACATTTTCACACAAATATCACATTTACTGTAGATATTGAAAAGTGTCAGTCGTATGTATTTTCTTGAAGTTGCTTGTTTTAGAGTGTTTAATAAGTTATTATTTTTTCCAAGAAAAATAAGGTTTGGTATAATCAACAATTGCAGATAGTAAGACAACATTTTGGGTTTGCATAAAAATGTAATTATTTTGTATATATATATATATATATATATATATATATATATATATATATATAAAACTAGATGATCATATAATAAATAAGCTCAATATCATATACTTCAAACAGCCATTGAAAGATAAAAGAGATTTGACAATGTTATATGTTCATATTGTATGTACAGATTTCAACAAGAATGCTAATTTTAAAAGACTTGGTGTCCTATTTGATGTAAATAGTGTTTTTATTACATTGTTTAGTTGATGTAAATGTTCAGATTTTCTATACTCCAAAGACATCATAAATTACATCATGACTATTTATAAAATAATTTATAGAAATCTAACTGTTATCTACATGTATTTTATTAAACAATACTCTTACTTGAGCATTGTCTAGTTCAAAGCTACATAATTAAACATAAATGTCACTCTTTTCAGCAAGATGAATATAGCATTAACAATTAAAATGTTCCCATATCGATTAAGCAATAAAGTTGAACTAAAGCTAAGGTTAAGCTTTTGTTATTTCCTCCAGAGCTTTACATTATTGCCATTAGAACTCCTAATACATTAATGCTTCTTTTTAGAAGCATCATGTGGAATATACTTTCAATTTCGATGTGCAGAATATTCAATCACTTTTCTTAAAATAGTGTAATTAAAATTTTAAAATTTTAAATAAAGTTATATTGGGACAATTCTAGTAAATACCAAAGAAATGAGTACAAAGGGCAAGGGAAAAACAAACACATGTTTCATAGCACTGAATGTATCTAAAAGAAAGTAAATAATTTATCTGTCAGAAATAAGCATTTTATTTGTATTATAAATCATTATATCTACTATCTATGCATTTGTAATCTGATTTCATTTGAACAGTGAGACCTAGGTGATCATCAATAGTACCCAAGTACCAAGTGAAAGAGAGATATGATGTTGATGGTGAACTATGGCAAAAGCCTGCATTTTATACACATAGTAAATATGTAAATTTTATAATGTTGGTAAAGATGTTTAATATGAATGTTAAAAAATATTTCTCTATGTGTCAGTTATGGCACCAGAAAGGCTACCTAGTCCTAATTACCAGGGGATCACAATAGAAGGTGACAATTTCTATTTATTTAGTGATTGGCATGGGGAAGATTGGCATGGGGAAGACTGACCTAGTGGAGCTTTTCCTGGTTGTGATCTGGATGTCTCTTACCTTTTACTTGGGACAGCAGGTTAGCCGAGATGTTTCTTATTGTAATGAGAATGGTTAAAAAAAATAGGAAAATATTATATTATGTTTGCAAAAATACCAAATAAGATACACCACAGAATCTAATGGCAAAAATATGTATGACCAAACACCAAAACAAAGGAAACATGATTTCCATCTTTCGTTTGGAAGTAAAGGAAAGGGTGAATATTTTTGAAAAATAATATAATTTATCATAATCACTATTATAGAAGGATTACATATTGGTCTATCACAGAATATAAGTAATTTGATAACTTACACAAAGGTCTACCAAATGATTTTATTGAGAAATGTTCTAATATAATATTTCAGAAAGTTATTAAGTAAAGAGGATTATAAACATAATCTCCAAATATCTGTTCAGAAGGATTTGGGTATGGTGGTGACTTTGCTTCTTTTCCCTTAGTGAGAGTACCAGCTACATAATACATGAAAGTTAAGTAGCTTTTTATACTTGTAAGTGCTAGATTGAGGAAGAAAAAGAAGAAATCTTATGGCAGATACTGTCCTGAGCCTGCAGTTAATCTGTCTTTTTTCTTTCAATAAATAACAGTATTCTGTGACTTCCAACAAGCAGGAGAGGGACTTTTGTGGCTAAGTGTTATGCATTATGACTTTTATGACAGATATGCTTTAGAAAATACCAGTGGAAAAGTTTACACCTTTCCATTCATAAATAATACACTATATCTATTATAAGCTGAAAAAGGGAGAAACATGATCATTCATTTATCCTTTACATCTCACACCATATTATGAGAATATGTACAGACTTCATAATATCTAGGACAAAGTTGAAGAATCCTGACTTTCAATTTCATGCACTCATAAAGTAAAATATTTAATTGCCATCTCTGCAATTATATAATGTGTAAATGCTACATGCAGGCCATCCAAAAGGACACAAGTTTTACCAGGTTATTCACTGGCAATTTTATGTCTGTGAAAGTTCTCTTGTTCATTCCCCTAGAAGTGAAGTAGGAATAAATAATGAGAAAGTTCTCTCTCTTTGCTATCACATCTAGGGAAGCAGTTTATCTAGAAGGCTCATATTTACATCAGTGAGGGGGAAAAAAAAGCAAAGATATAGTGACTACAATTAAATGACAGCAACAGGAGTCATGCCATACATTATTCAATTCAAAAACAAGGACACTGATGCCCATCTTCCTCTCATCATTTGACATGGAAAATTCTGAACTTAGTTTCAGCTTCAGAGTTCCCTGATTTGCAGAAACCTTCTTTTAGACTGTATCGCAGCTCAACTTTTCTCTGCTCAATCTTTATTTCTGTCATTTCCCTCACTGGTGTTATCCCAAGAGCAATTCTTAATGAACCTCTTATACACGGATCTTCATCTCAAAGTCTGTTCCTTGGAATATCCAAAGACTGATGGAAGTTGAATCTAATAGACATTCAGAGCCAACTCACCAATGGGATTGTGGGTTTCTCGAATAAAGTGTCATCAACAGGTGCCACAGAAGTATTTTAAGAAGAAAAATGAAAGGAGAATTTTATTATAAGAAGTTGTCCTAGAATATTCTTATAAAAATGGATTTGAAAAGGCAGAAAATCAGCAGGTAAGAACATGGGGCTATTGTAGTCACCCAGATGAGGATAAATGGTAATAATAGCTGATA